GTAAGTAATATTACAGAATGTAAACAATCCCTCCAGCTGTATACATAACCATGATAAAAATGTACACACCAAGTTTCCAACTTTAGCATGTGTTAATATAAAGATCCTGATAAGTGTGTAAGTAATATTACAGAATGTAAACAATCCCTCCAGCTATATACATAACCATGATAAAAAATGTACACACCAAGTTTCCAACTTTAGCATGTTTTAATACAAAGATCCTGATAACTGTGTAAGTAATATTACAGAATGTAAACAATCCCTCCAGCTATATACATAACCATGATAAAAAATGTACACACCAAGTTTCCAACTTTAGCATGTGTTAATATAAAGATCCTGATAACTGTGTAAGTAATATTACAGAATGTAAACAATCCCTCCAGCTGTATACATAACCATGATAAAAATGTACACACCAAGTTTCCAACTTTAGCATGTGTTAATATAAAGATCCTGATAACTGTGTAAGTAATATTACAGAATGTAAACAATCCCTCCAGCTGTATACATAACCATGATAAAAAATGTACACACCAAGTTTCCAACTGTAGCATGTGTTAATATAAAGATCCTAATAACTGTGTAAGTAATATTACAGAATGTAAACAATCCCTCCAGCTATATACATAACCGTGATAAAAAATGTACACACCAAGTTTCCAACTTTAGCATGTGTTAATACAAAGCAGTGGTATAGGTAGGAGTTAAAAGGGGTGATGTTTAGCTAGACATGTACATTTTACAATGAGAGATTTAATGTACAAGGAGCTATGTTTAGCAGCTCCCATGCAGAAAATATCAAGATATAATTTACAGTTGTTATATATATCAAATATGTAAAAGTTCCGAAGCCTCTGCAAAGATCTTGAGAACTGTATAAGTTATATTACAGAATAAAAAACAAACTCTCCAGCTGTTTACATAAGCCTAATAAAATACATGTCTGAATATAAAGATTCTGACAACCATGTAATCGAAATGTCTAAATAAACCTAATAAAAATATACCCACCTTGGTTTTCAACTTCAGTAGATGTTGATGCAAAAGCACTGATGGCTGGGTAAGTAATGCTGCACATTGAAAGAAACCATCCTGCTGCCCACATAATCCTATGAAAAATCTGATTTAAATATTAAAATAATCGAACATCCAGCTCATGGTAGAAATTAAATGAAGTTGAAAGTTATATTTAGCAAGCCTTTCTGAAAGAAAGAAACTTTAACCCCTTAACTGGCAAGCCCAGAAAATGTCTATGATAGTGTAGCTTTGCATTACTGGCACCCTTAAAAATGTACTTGCTGTTTACATCCACTTTTCATAGATGGCAGCACATGTCATTAACAAGAGTGTGTTTTTCTCTACAAATTTTCATTCTTTTGTTTGTGTCACTCATCAGCTGACAATGATTGACACACAATGCTTCTACAGGGAAGCATATACTGTCCTAGCATGATATTTTTTTGTATTTTGATGAATTGTACTAGTTAATCTAGTAAAAGATTCAAAATGTGAGCTTAGCAATGCTAGAAATCAGATAACTGTATCAAGTGAAGTATCTGCTGAGCAAAACACATATATATGCAAACTAGGCATGCTTGCACAGAAACATTATAAATGCAGTGGAGTACTATTTCTGAGAATAGTTGTTTTACCTTTAATTTGATAAACTTTTCTGGGACATCTAGTGTTCAGGTACTACTATCAAGTAACTGAACAGCACTCCAAACTTGAGGAATTTGTTTGACAGATGAGCTCATTGATTTGATTGTGCTTTTATAGTAATTGTTATGCAAACCAGACAAATGAAGGAAAACTTGGCTGATGAGTTGTGAGAATTTCTAGCTCAAGCTATGTAACTCATAAGCCACAGTGTTAATGTACTGGTTACAAAAATTAGGCTGTTACTGGAAATGGAGCAGAAAAGTTTCCAGTTGTCTTAAGTGCCTGAGTAAAATATCTCTGCTGATGAGAGCCTCATATTTATAAATGTGGCTATTGAAGGAGAACTATATACCACATCAAGGTTTTGATGAGGCAGGCCTGAGATATGCACTGGAATTCCACATTATATCAGAAAGGATGATAAAAACAGCAATGGGGGACATGGAAATGCCAACTAGCTGGTTCTTCGTGTTTCTGTAATGAAGTTGGTTTCTAGAGAGAACATCTTCAGGAAGAGGTGCAAGGTTTCTAGGGATGAGTGATTTTCCAGTTCTTGAAGAGAAAGGGTTTGGAGACAGAAGGACTGCTGGTTTGCCAGTTCTTGGAGAGAAGATTTTTGTTGTTATGGGGATTGTGGTGGTTTCCAGTCCTTGGAGAAAAAGGTTTTGTTGTTACAGGGACTGTGGTGGCTTTTCCAGTTCTTGAAGAGAAAGGGTTTGGTGTTATATAGACTGTGAATTCCAAAAGGAAAGAAATGCCCAACTAGAAAATGAACTGATTGAAAGATCAATGTCTGTAGTGATATTTTCATGTTATTAAATATGGACCCTGCTGAGGTAGTGAACACTGAGAAGGTTAATAGAAGACTGGGTTACAAACAACAAAACTATAGTCAGCTATAACAAACATATTGGTGGCACTTATTTCATCAACCAGCACATAAAGTGGTATGAAAGCAAGAGCTGAAGGCCAAGAACTGGTATATCAGAAACTGTCCTTTCATTTGCTTGATGTGATACTGTACAATATATTGTAATTTCTTGCAAAACCAGTGACAAGAATCTGCACAGCTTTACCTTTAGGCTTCAGGTTGTCACGAAGCTGCAGCAAGACAAAATTACCTGAAGGCAGACCACAAAAACGTGATCCAGCTGCATGGCTCATGGAAAGACATTTTTTAGTCAAAATCCCATGATTTGCATGAAAAATACCTGACAGAAACAGACCACTAGTGTCTAAAACCCTGCTAGTTAAGGGGTTAACAAATATTGTTTTTTTATAAAACTAATTGAAAATAATATCCTTTTTAACAAGAAGTTACCCATAAAATCTGGATAAGCTTTATTACTCAAATGAAATCATTTTATACCTAGGCTTGTGTAAGTTAAAAATTACCAGGGAAAACAATCACTGAAACAAACTTAACTTACCACCTCTGTGAAAAAAAGCCATAACAACTCAATTGAAGCAACTCAAAAAATATTCCAACCATGATGGTATTTTTACTCCCCAGTGTCATCATTAGCATTTGCAAAATAACTGTCTAAAGAAAAACAAGAATAATAATGATGAATTTTATTCCCTAATATCATCATTAACATTATCAAAATAACAGTTTAAAGAAAAACAAGAATAATAATGATGATTTTATTCCCTAATATCATCATTAACATTATCAAAATAACAGTTTAAAGAAAAAACAATAATAATGATGATTTTATTCCCTAATATCATCATTAACATTATCAAAATAACAGTTTAAAGAAAAAACAAGAATAATAATGATGATTATATTCCCTAATATCATCATTAACATTATCAAAATAACTGTCTGAAGAAAAAACAAGAATAATAATGATGATTTTATTCCCTAATATCATCATTAACATTATCAAAATAACAGTCTGAAGAAAAAATAACCCTTTCTTTCAAAGCTTTAATAATTTGAATAAAAAACTATATTAATTGAAACATCAAAGAAAGAACTTGTTTCCAAAACAATTATGAAACAAGTATATTTTACTGTCCATAAGTATATAAATACAATAAATGTGCAAGTTATAAGGGGGAAAAAAAAGAAACTAATTTCTATTCAAACACAGCTCGTGTACTATTCTATAAACAGAATACTTAATTCTTATATACTCATATGAAATGTACTTTTCTTGAATAAAAGTCTTTATACAAATATTCAGTCTTTATAAATGTGACTATTTATATACACTTAGCTAATTTAGAAATATTCTAATATTATTATTTTTATCTGAACTGATACAAGTTTGGGAAATAAACCATATTAAATTAAACTCACTTGTGCAAATAAACAGAGAAGGCCAACAACTGCAATGAATAATACAACATCTTCAGCTGAAAAACCCATTACCTATAGAAGCACAATATTCAAATTAAATAATACAATTCTCAAGTTTCTATATGGGCATAAATAACATCAAGAGGTTAACTCTCTGTAAATGGTCTCAGTCATTTTGACCAACCTTGAAACAAACAAGTAACAATGAAGGTATATATATATATATATAATTTTTAATGTAGTAATTGTATGAAATATGAGAAATTTTAGTTACATTACAAGTCTTTTGTACACACACACACAAAAAAAAACGATTTTTCAATTAAGTATTTTTACTAAATATTTGTCTATAAATTAATAGTCAGAATTTTGATTCAAGTTCTGACTAGTCAGTGTGCAAGGTGATTTTCATGCTAAGATTAAAAATAATTTTGATCTTACACTTTTTCAATTTCAATTGAATAACCTCTTAAATAAATATTAAAACTTTTTTACAGAAAACTTTATATTTTATCTATTATTTTCTCTACTCTAAAATTAAACAGATTTGGTCAACTCTGTAACCACCAAAAAAAGAGTAAAAAATCCAAATTACCCAATTTTTCTTTCTAGAATAACTGCAGATTGTAACAGAAAATTACAACTGTTTACCCTAAACAACCTCAGGGTCATAACTATTTACATCTGTTTTAATATTTTATTTATATGGTAGTGAATTATATAACGTGCAGATCTCTTCAAGATATTTTTAACTTTTTTCATTTATATTTTATTATTTAACTCAATAAGTTTGTAATTCTTACTTTAATGAGAATAAATAAAACATAAAAAAAACAAAAGCTTTATTACTTATGTCTAGCAACTGATGAATTTCACCCAACTTTTTTGTAACAATAGTTGTAGTACATAAAATAATTATTTATTTAAGATATGCAATAATGACCCTAAACAACAAAATTGACAAACCATACAATGTATTGTAACTATTATCATTCAACTGGCTTTCTAACTAAGTTATAAGTGTCTTAAAATAGTTCACTTACATGATCAATGTGAATTTGGCAATACAATGAATCTGTAGGATGCATAACTAAAATATTGTCATTAAAATGAGTTGGCCTTATATGGTAATAGCATCTTTTATTTCTATTGGCTATAAATAATCCAATATCAAACATCAAAGAGAATTACTGACATTTTGTGAAAGACAGGATATGGTAGAAGGACATGGCAAGTGGGTTAGATTTGAAGGTTTGTATCTCCATAAACTGAAAAGACTGGAGGCTATAAAATTAGACTATACCTTAATAATATTCAATACTCAAGACAACATGATAGGGTGATGAGAAAATTGAAAATGAGTAATTAACATAACGTTTTGGGACAACATGGGACCTATTGGTCCATCTCAGCTGTTCCATCCTCTAAACTAAATTCAAATGATTAAAAATAAATAAATAAAAAACAAAATCTTAAATCCAGCCCTTTTCATTCATATACTTATCAAGCTTTTTCTTAAACTCACTTAAATTTACTGCCTCTACAACATGCGAAGCCAACCCATTCCATAGGCCAACCACCCTGTTAGAAAAATGAAACTTTCTTAGCTGAAGATGACTCTTACCTTGCCAAGATTTATATTTGTGTCCCCTAGTCCTACTATTCTCACTATTAAATATAAAAAGAAGATGATGCATCAATACTATCAATTCCCTTTACAATCTTAAACCCCTCAATCAGATCACCCTAACTCTTCTTTTTTCAAGAGAAAACAAT